TCACTTTCTCCCCCTCCCCCCCTACCTCAGTTGTAGCGTGGCCGAGCCCAGTATAGTCCGCGGGTACAGGTAGCTTTTGTTTCCTGTACCCGGCCGGACTAACAGGAAGTGCACACTCAGTGTGTACTTCCTGTTAGTCCGGCTGGGTACAGGACATAGATGCTCCCTGTCCCCGCGGACTGTACTGGGCTCGGCCACGCTACAGTGAGAGAGTGACAGGAGGGAGTGCTGAGCGCTTCCCTCCTGTCAGCCCCTCTCCTCAGGCTGCGCCCGGCGGTGCGGTCCACCCTCATGGACGCACCGCCCGGGCAAAGCTGCAGCCGCCTGAGTCTCTCTACAGAGCACTCGGGCAGCTGCAGCATGGGGGGGCCGGCAGGGCTGGGGGAATTGCGTCACCCCCATCTCCCCCGGTTCCTAAGCCCATGGTTGTGGGTACAAGAGGTTAATATACATGACTGACCTAGGTTAGTAACATGCACAGTACTTTGCAAGTGTATATGTCTTATGAGGCCAGTGCTTATTAGTATATGCATGGTAGGCAGGCTAAACTGTGGGTCTAGGCATATAATCTAAGGCTACATAAGTGCAAGAAGAGATGAGATTCCTAGGGTTGCAATATGGCTGGCTAAGCATGTAAAACATATAAAAGTAAAACAAATACAGGTTACTGGCAGATTGCACACCGCGTAAGAGTCAAAAGAGGGGGAGATCACCGGATGTTATGTGCGTGTTCAGTGTCCAGTGCAGCTGGCGGCCGCCCGCCTCAGGTATTCAGTCCACTGCTTGCTTTAGCTGATACCCAATTTAGGTATGGTTTGATTGCAGGCTGATGGCTTCTCCAGGGTCGTGGGATGGTGGGGGCAGCACTCTCCCTCCTTTCGGCTCCAGGCCGGTTCGAAGGTTCTCCCTTCTGTGAGTTGTGGAGGGGTCCTCCGCCTGGGATTCCCTCCTGTAACCAACCTCCCCACCTCCCGGTCAGCGTTGTGGTCTGTACCATGAGTTCTCCTGTGTGGGAGCATGTCACGCTGGGCGTAGGTTGCTGGGGCCGCTGAAGGGCGAGCGGGTCGGGTGCACCGGCGGGTCTCGCTCTGGTGCTTGGGGGCGTTGGCGCTGGTGTCCAAGCATCCTTGCACTGTTTTGCCGCTGTGTTGACATTCGGCTCCAGTTCCGTCGGGGGGCCATTCTGGCTCGAGGGGGATTTACTCCCAGGTGGCGTCGGATTGCCAGGCGGACCCATCCTGCTACCGCTTTTATTACCTGCTTGAAGATCAGTCTCCGGGTATATAGCTGTGTCCAGAGGCTGGTTCGGAGCCATTCATAGAACTCCCGTGTATGCTTGGGAGGCTCTGTAAGTGGGCGCTTTATTGTAGGCTGCTTCCGTGCCACGATCTTGCTTGGGCCTTGCCCTCCCCATTTTGCTTTAGACATCGTCATTGGTCAGGCAATATTGTGGGGGTAGTCGTCCCCAGCAAGGACCGGGATATCCCCCGCCGGTCCAGAGGGGGGATAGCAGGGTTGTGTGGAGGTTTCGCTTGTGAGCGTGTCCTGTGCCGGGTGATCGGCCGCCTCCCCTGGACCTCAGGCTTTGCTGTGATGTAGGCCGCATGGTCAGCATGGGTTTTTCTGCATCGCATCGGAACCGGACCAGTACCATTCTGTGTCTCATGGTGTCCTGGGTCGGCCCCCGGGCACCGTTTGTTGCCATCGTTAGTAAGTCGCTCTGTAGTAGCCCGTTTATGCTCTTCAGTACAGAAGATCTTAGATTGTGCGACCGGCCATATTGCCTGTCAGGCCCCGCCCCCCAATCAATTTATGTTTTCATGCTCATTTACGTTCATTCTCTACATTTTCTGTCTAAGAGGAAACGACTTCTCTCACGTTGGCTGTTACGTTTGTATAGAAGTACCTCACTCGTTCTCCCTAATCATCACAGGTAATCTCGTATGTAGCTCCTCTGTTTATGGATATCAGATTTGAACTTATTACTCATAGGTCACAGTCAGGCTTTTCCCTTACAGCCTAATACACGGACCTTTTCTATTACTAAGGGTAAGCGGAGTTACATCGTAGTAATCTGTTTGTCTTATCTCTGTAGGGTGTACTTTACAGGTCTACTTTACAGGTCTCTCTCTTAGAGACCATCTTGGTTACCAAGATAGGTACGTTAACCATTGCGCCAAAAGAAATGATAAAAAGGTAGTAAAAATTATTGTATAAAATTAGTCCCAATATATATAAAATTGATTTGTGGTAGGAAGTTGTCTCAAGCAATATTTCAGCTGGTGAGGTATCTTACACTCTGCACGACTGGTCCTCTCTTCTTGTGTCTTCCATATCACGAACGATCTGCACTACTATAAACAGAGAAGATACCTCACCAGCTGAAATATTGCTTGAGACAACTTCCTACCACAGATCAATTTTATATATATATTGGGACTAATTTTAT